TTTAAGTTCTAGCTGGTCTTGAATCGTTGACATCGTCGACAGAGCCTAACCTTTCAAGCCACACCCACGGTGGTGTACATATGACAGTGTGGCGATTTGTCTAGAGATCCCGGTGGCGATTTGTCTAAAGATCCCCAATAAGATAATTATTTTAGACAAAAATGTGTGATGTAAACATCACTATTGCATTGAAAAAATACAGTGTGCCCCTCAATCTCACATGTTTGGCAAAATTTATGTGTGAAGTGCACCTCACACATAGTGTCTTTGTCGACTACGTATAGTATGGTGTCAGCGGTGACACCCTCTGCCGGTGGCTTCTTTTATAAAGATCCTGAAATTGTTACCGCACACGATTGTTACCTCACATAGTTTCGATGGCGTGTACGTTTTGAATGTTCAATCAGTAATCAACCCTTCCACACAGAACCAAATACTGTGTGCGGTGGTGCTTTTTGACCATGTGTAATAAAGGCTCTATCGGTACCAGTGAATAGAGATTCATGTGGTTCTGATCAGGGTTGGATGCATGCGGTTTTGGCCTACAGTCATGGCCTCGCAGATGTGGCCTTCTTGCTGCACAGTGGCGGATCTGGCGGCAGCCTGCTTGTCCATGCAACGGCATGTCGGGCATGGCTATCCTTGGGGTGGCGCGCGAGGGAATTGGTACCTAGTCCCTGGATCTGACGGTGGCGACGATGGTTGTCGTTGTATGCACGGCGACAGCGACTGGCGCGGCGGTGGGTGCTCCCTGTAGCACCCGGAATCGAGGAGGCGACCCCTCTTATTTGACGGCGGCAGACTCCATGGGCGTGCGGGTGACTCGGAGTCCGGATCTCAAGGTGTTGACTGCCTTTCTAAGGTTGGTGACGGTATCTGTTGGGGAACGTAGCAGAAATTCAAAATTTTCCTACGTGTCACCAAGATCTATCTATGGAGAAACCAGCAATGAGGGGAAGAAGAGTGCATCTACATACCCTTGTAGATCGCTAAGCGGAAGCGTTCAAGAGAACGGGGTTGAAGGAGTCGTACTCGTCGTGATCCAAATCACCGAAGATCCTAGTGCCGAACGGACGGCACCTCCGCGTTCAACACACGTACAGCCCGGTGACGTCTCCCACGCCTTGATCCAGCAAGGAGAGAGGGAGAGGTTGAGGAAGACTCCGTCCAGCAGCAGCACAACGGCGTGGTGGTGATGGAGGAGCGTGGCTATCCTGCAGGGCTTCGCCAAGCACCGTGGGAGAGGAGGAGTAAGAGAGGTAGGGCTGCGCCCAGAGGGAGAGGTTCTCGTGTGTTGGGCAGCCCCAAAACCCCCACTATTTATAGGAGGAGGGGAGGGGGCGCACCCCAGGGGTGGCGGCAGCCCCCAGATGGCATCTGGTGGCGGCCAGAAGGGGGAGAGGGGGGAGGCGCACCTAGGCTGGGCCTTAGGGCCCATCTGCCCTAGGGTTTGCCCCCCTTCCCCACTTCCCTGCGCCTTGGGCCCTGTGGGGGGGGGGGTGCACCAGCCCACCTGGGGCTGGTCCCCTCCCACACTTGGCCCATGCAGCCCTCCAGGGTTGGTGGCCCCACTTGGTGGACCCCCAGGACCCTCCCGGTGGTCCCGGTACGTTACCGGAAAAACCCGAAACTTTTCCGGTGACCAAAACAGGACTTCCCATATATAAATGTTTACCTCCGGACCATTCCGGAACTCCTCGTGACGTCCGGGATCTCATCCGGTACTCCTAACAACATTCAGTAACCACATACAAACTTCCTTTATAACCTTAGCGTCATCGAACCTTAAGTGTGTAGACCCTACGGGTTCGGGAGACATGTAGACATGACCGAGACGTTCTCCGGTCAATAACCAACAGCGGGATCTGGATACCCATGTTGGCTCCCACATGTTACACGATGATCTCATCGGATGAACCTCGATGTCAAGGACTCAATCAATCTCGTATACAATTCCCTTTGTCTAACGGTATTGTACTTGCCCGAGATTCGATCGTCGGTATACCGATACCTTGTTCAATCTTGTTACCGGCAAGTCTCTTTACTCGTTCCGTAACACATCATCCCGTGATCAACCCCTTGGTCACATTGTGCACATTATGATGATGTCCTGCCGAGTGGGCCCAGACATACCTCTCCGTTTACACGGAGTGACAAATCCCAGTCTCAATTCGTGCCAACCCAACAGACACTTTCGGAGATACCTGTAGTGCACCTTTATAGCCACCCAGTTATGTTGTGACGTTTGGTACACCCAAAGCATTCCTACGGTATCCGGGAGTTGCACAATCTCATGGTCTAAGGAAAAGATACTTGACATTAGAAAAGCTTTAGCATACGAACTACACAATCTCTATGCTAGGCTTAGGATTGGGTCTTGTCCATCACATCATTCTCCTAATGATGTGATCCCGTTATCAACGACATTCAATGTCCATGGTCAGGAAACCGTAACCATCTATTGATCAACGAGCTAGTCAACTAGAGGCTTACTAGGGACATGGTGTTGTCTATATATCCACACATGTATCTGAGTTTCCTATCAATACAATTATAGCATGGATAATAAACGATTATCATGACCAAGGAAATATAATAATAACAAATTTATTATTGCCTCTAGGGCATATTTCCAACAGTATCAGACATCCCCTCCAGATTGGGTTCGATGCGGCTCGACAGGTGACACATGCGTCTCTTTCGGAGTTATCGAGCAGTGCCTGTCACCGACATGTGAAGCCTCTGGTGGATGCGCCGCCGGTGGATATTACGCAAGGTGTCTCGTGCGGGGACGTCAGGTCATGCCTGGTACCGGCATGTGCTGCATGGCGGCTCTGGCGGAGGTCTCATGTTTAGCTTGCTGCTGCTGGAACGAAGGTCGTGTCACTGTGGCGGGATGCAGGCGGTATAGGACATCTATCTTCGGGTGTCTTCTCCAGAGGTATCCGGGTATCGAGGCGGCGGTAACCGGATAAGGGTGGTGGTACATACGGCTACAATGGCAACTTTATGCACTCCAGTGGAAACACAAGATCTCTTATCAGGCTATGTCGACGCGCGTCTGCGTTGTTTCCTTGCTGAAGGTGGTGGATTGAAGCTTGGCTTTGTGGATGAGAACCCGGAGTTCAACCTTGTATTGGACTCGCCATCATCAGCGCACGAGGAGTTGTGTGTATTTTGTTTTGATGTCGTGTTTAACATAGTGTTAGTGCCTATCTAGTGGAGTTACTGTCGCGAGGCATGCGGCCTCTGGTTTTCTTGTCGTTTTATTTCCAAATCGATGTTGTTCGTCTGCTGGATTTTGCATTATCAATAATACATGACTACATGCATCGTCCAGATGCAAAGGCTAGCGATTATCCTCCTTTTCGAGAAAAAAATGGTGTAATATACAAAAGAGAAGGCATCGAGTTGGAATGTACATACAAGGTTGCATGCTCATTAAACCCATTAACAGTCGCGGAAGGAGCGCCCGCTCGCGTATGCCACGTCGATGGTGTGGGTTGGGCAGGAAAGATAGAAACCGTGATGAAAATAATAGCGAGAGAAAAAAAGGATCGCGATTGGGCCCTCTCTTCCGCTTCCCTTACCTTCTCCCTCTCCCTCTCCCTCGTCTGCCGCTGCCGCCACCACCACCGGCGACCTCCTCCATGGCTGACACACCACCCCCTTCTCTCCCCCTTACCTTCTCCTCATCAGCGACCTCCTTCCCTCCCCCTCGCCCCAGATCAAAGAATAGGCCCGGATGCGACGCGGGCTCAGATCCAGCACGCCCACAACACTGCTTTTGCTAGAGGACGCCATGGAAAAGGTGCTCTGGCCCTGGTACTGCAGCCATGGAGAGGTGCCCTCCCATCTTTATGTGCGTGTTTGTTGGATGGTGAGAAAAGATAACTGGATCAAGAGCTACTTCGATGCCATCCTCGACATCGGCAAGTCAGCCGATGGTGATCGCCCCTCCCTGCTTCTCCTCAATCATGCCCACTTCTCCCTGGCTGCCTACTCCGTCAAGGAGATCATCCTCGATGCACAAATCCCAGCCTTTTGGATTTCTCGTTTTTTCTTCCAATTTGACTAAGCTTGTTCTGAGTCTCTTTCTGTGTTTCTCTTCTTATTCTTCAGGGACTGAAGGTGGTGTATAGGACCAAGGAGAGGAGCAGCGGGCCAGGAGGTCTGACCCTCCCCTATGCCCCCATGGCCATGGTTTGTACTTTCTCATGTCAGCTTTTTGAGAGCTCTCTTTTATTCCTGCCGAACTGCACATTAATTTATTTATTTGGATATGCTTAGTGGTCGTTAACAATCAGAAATCTCGAGGTCGCGGCAGAATATGTTTTGCAAAATGCATCAGATAGAGCCCTCAAAGATAAGGACAATAATGCTCAAGGATTTGTTGTGGGTTCTGCAACCTATTTATCTTCTGCTTTTCAATTATATTTTCTGCCATTTACTTTTAGACTCATTCTCATTCTCTATCTAAATATGTAGGGGCAATGAAATCATATTTGTTCTCTGGGGTTATTGTGTGGATGAATTTGATGTTGAGAATGTCCGTTTTGTTGGCGAAAAGGCCCCAGTTATTGGGATATTTCTTTTTTTTAACACAATTATTGGGATATTTCTGAGCACACTGCCAATACACTTTCAAGGTCCTTATTTTAACCATGATTTGCATCATCTCAAAATGCAGGTGTGTACTGGGCATTCTACTTTGTTATTCCTCTTTAATAAGCACAGTATGGTAGTGATGGTTATTGGCCTATGGAAATGAGATTATTGAACTGTTACGCCAACTGTTTCTTACACGGCTTTCCATCATTGCCAAGCAGAAGTATGCATCTTGCAACATTTCCTTGCTTTTAGAATTGTTTGTACTGGAAAACCAGGACCTAAACTGGTGCTACTGGCCTACCTTTTCTTCAGGGAATGCCCAGCAGACCTGGAAGATGGTATCCGCAGTTTGATTATTGCAGCCCCAATGGTGCTTTGAACGCAGTCAAATGTGCGACCTTTTTTACAAGAAGTATGGGAAAGATTTCGTTGCTGCTGCAGTTGACATATGCCCAAATGTTTGTGTATTTCATTTATTTTTCTGCAAAGCCATTTGTTGTCACTACTGCATGTATTTTATGGTCACTATTGAAATCAACGATGTCCTTCTGAAGGTAATTGAGAAGTTGTCAGTCAATAAGCCGTGTAGGCAATTTAAGTTGGAAGTTCTTAAGGATATAGCAAAGGAGCATCAGATAGATTGGGATAGGAGCGAGGCTGAGCAGGAACTTCTTAAACCTGCTGAAGAGCTGATTTATGTAATACTAAAACTGCAATGCCACATACTTTTGTTTTACATTGTGTATAGTCTTTGAGCTAACAGGCTTTAACTTCTGAGCAGCAAGTATGGAATTTGGCAAGTTATTGTGTCTCTACAAGGCTTCTACTCGCAATGGAGTTGTTTGCAGCATTTTGAAATCAAGTTTCTATATATAATACACACATCGTGTTTGTGATTGCTAGTTCGGTCATCCTTTTGAACAAAAAAGGCACCGGAAGGGGTGGCTTGCTAGCACCGCCCATGAACATCTCAGGCAGAGATATCCGATACAATCTTACGTTTGTTTACATTCTCCATTTAATGATATATGCATGTGTAACTAACCATTTATGTTTGTTTATAAGAATTTTACATGAGTATTCCTACACATAGATGAATATCCTCCTGATGCTAATCAAGGATTCGATATTCCATAAGCTTTGGTTAACTTGTGTGAGTTAATTCTAGGAGAAGATAATTTGCAACAGATCCAATGTTTGTCTCACATATACTAGAAAACTTTCAAGGTAAATATATGATATTTACTACCTTGAGAGTTTTAGATATTCTTCTTTTATCTTCTCATTACAATATTATTATGTGATGCAGGAAGATAATGTGATGAAGTCATACACAGAAGTGTTGATTGTTCCCTTGATCCTTGACAGCGCATCCTCACCTCACAGGACTCGCGGCTCAAGCCGTCGTTGTTGTGCTCCTGCAATTGTCCACTAACAGTATTTATTTTGCTTATTCATTGCGCCACAAGTATCTCTTGAGAAGTATTCTTGTACTCCTGCAATTAAAATTTCTGGATTTAGTGATGGCACCGTCCAAAACAAAGAATTAGTTGTCAGCAATATCCACAGTTTTATTATTAATAGATTTGGGTTTATAGCATGGAAATAACACGTATGGCATTATTGTTCTCTGTTTATGGATCTTGCATTGGTTTGGTTGAATGATTTTGAATTTCCTTTATAGTATATATACATCAGTCAGTCAATTATTTATTAGTGGTAATCCGTAATTGTCACAGCAACATGCTTCATGTAAGGAGATCTTTCCACTCTGAGATCGTGTTTCAATCTTTATTTCCTCTTGCCTCTGTATCCTTGGTCTCTTGATAAGAGGTGTATGAATGTGGTTGAAAAAAATACCAAAAAAGTTTGATTAGTTGTGTGCAGCTATCGGTAGAGTTGTGATATATCTTTAACCATTGTCGCTTGTCTACACTGTCAGCGCGTTAACAACTACGGAAGCTTGATTAGTGCGCCCAATAACGCCTCAAGAGGCGCCACCAGGTGGCGCCCTAACAACTAGTGTGTCACCAAATGCAGCATATATACGGGTGGTGGCGGTGTTGTGCTGGGAGAGGGTAATTTGTGGACCATGTCACGGGCGCGCTTGAGGCAGTTGTTGTAGGTGGTCGATGTTGGTTTGGGTTAGCTTCCACGGCTGATGCTTAGAGCATGTACACATGGACTTGTCAAATCTAGCGCCCTACGTTCTCGAACGCGCCCGGGCGCCTTTCCTGATAATGATCCGGCACATCTCAAAATCCTCTTTCACAAATGAATATATCAATTATGAAACCTCAAATCTATAAAATTACATGAAAATTAAAACTAGTCTAAATTTTCGCCACCAGTCGTCCTTGTTGTTCCGGCTCTGTGCATGTCCGGTTGCGGGTTGAACCTTTCACCGGTTGAGCCCTTCATTTTCCTCTTCCACAAATGAGTCCAAGCCTGTCGGGCAGACTCCTCTCGGGAGCGGCGGAGCACAATGCAGACGGCCATCTCCTTCTCAAGGCCGTGTGGGATGAGTTCCTAGTCAACATATATTGGAAGGTGTAGGACTCGGATTCGTTGCACGCCATGTTGAAGAAGGCTGGAGATCACCGGAAGGGAGCTTGGGGGCAGAGTGGAGTGGTTCGGTCTAGGAAGGGGTTGAGGACGAATATATGTGGGGTCAAGGTGGGACAGCGTGGTCCGGATCTGACGTGGCGAACGTGCCCAGGCCACCCCAGATTTGGGGTAGATAAGCGGGGTGCCGATGATCAGCTGAGGCATTTGGGTTTTATCGGGTCGTCTGACCGGACATAGGGAGGGATGTTTGGGGAGCCCTTGTGTAGATGCTCTTAGATTTCCAGGACTTAGAGGATGATGTAGAGCTTCAGCTTATGAAGTCAAACAGACTTCATGACTGGTATTTTAGGTCAGAATAGTTGTGAGAGTATGAGTGGCAGGCTCTTTTGACTGGCGTGTCACTGATTCTTCTAGGAAGATACCAAAAATATCTAGAAGATACCAAAACAAAAGTTGCTCCTACCTTCGAACGGGGTACTTCAGAATACCCCACTTTGCAAACAATTTTTTAGGGGGCAGCTACACGTCGTTACGGAAATTGAAGAGGGTGGGTCCAAACTTTAGATCACACGGTACATGAGAATTTTATAGCTCCGTAGTCCGTACGTGATCATGGTTAATATCAATCCCAAGCATGTCCACATATTATAAATGCTAGATCCAATGGCTATAAAATGGCCTGTGCATCATTCTTAATATGTAGGCGCATATATCTTGCAAAATTTCGAACTTAAGCAAAAATGGGTTATTAGCCCAACTAAATTTTCTGGAGCTCCAATAAGTAATAGAGGCATATAGCAAATTTTCGAACTTCAAAGGTCAAAGTCATCGGTGGCTAACCTTTTTTGGAACTTTAGTGGGTAACAAAAAGTTAACCACATGGGTTCCGTGTCAAGCTCTCTGTAAAAATCTATTTCGAAGAGGCTAGTGTAAGCTAGAATCTAGAGTACACAATACATAAAAAAAACATTATAGCTCTGTACTTGACCATCATTAAGATTGATGCCAAACCATCTCTATAGAGGGAGATGCTAGATCGGTGGCTATAAAATGTCCAGTGCATCGCTCTGTTACCTAGGAGCCAAAGCAAATGCAAGGTGCTAAAAGGAGAAACCAGAATAGATGTTTCAGGATCATTTGTGAATGGTAGGTCTCGGGATGGCGAGCGTCTTGTAGACTATCTTTCTTGATATCTTTCACAGGCTAGCCTGGATGATACCTGTTGCACCTGAAAGAAGAGAAGTCAACAAATCCATAGGAAACAAGTGTGAAGGGCCCGGACCAGAAGAACATCCAGCACGACTGCCACTATACAAGCACACGCTCTGATCGGTCATGTGTCTTCTATGTGCAAATAGGAATGGACACATGCACGGTGGCACCGGCGGCCGATGAACAGTTTCAGAACACCCAGAGAAGCTGCGCTACATAGGCCTCCAAATTAGTCGAATTCGACTAAGCCTCAACTAAACGTAAACTAAAATTTGAGTGGAAAGTGGCTTGTGCACATCTTGTGACAATCTTGAGCCAACCTCAAGCTAGTTTCAAGCTAAATAACATGACTATATTAGTAACTTAAGGCAAATTTTCCAACAATATAGGCCACAACACAACATAAGCGACCACTATAAAATAATAATCCAATCAAAGCGGTGATAATATAAGAAAGTTCAAAAGTAGTTTGATTTATTCTATCTAAACTGAAGAATAGTACATCGGCGCCTTCCCGCCACTGATTGCCTGATTCTATAAACTTCTAGGTTTAAACAAGTTTGACCCGTCAAGACAGCGACCCAGAAGCGGAAACAAGATACTTACGACGTGCCGCCAGTGGTCGTAGGAGAAAGAAGACTTTGACAACCGTATAAGGGCTTGGATGCAATTATATTTTTTTGTAAGGGGTGTTTTTAAGGAATTGTGATACTTAATATATGGCCTTAAGTCTTGTCGCAAAAAAACTAGTAATTAATAGCAACACATCGTGGATGAACAAGTAACAGAAGAAAACAAAGATGCCGCTGCTCTCCAACTTTGGCCCAAAAAAATAGCAGGATATTTAACACGAGACAAGCACGTATTATATTGAGGCATACATTTTTTTCGCACTTAATTAAGATTTCATGTTTCCTAGTACATAAATGGTGAAAATTTATAAAAAAACATATATGATAACAAATTATCCTATTTTTAAAGATATATATCAGGTTATTTAATATAATTATATTATTTTGAACTAAACCAAGTGAGCTAGTGTTGACTCAAGATCATTCTGTTTCTGGATCAAGCTACATAATGTGCTCATACTCAAATCATTTCTTTTCGAGTAGATCTCGAGTTGATCCAAAAGATGAGTCAATCTCAGGTGCCTCATGAGCCTGGAGTTTTTCTTGCAGCTCTAGTGCTACATGCCTCCCTTAAGTAGTGCAATAAGGAAACAAGATAGTCCTCTCATGGAAACAAAAGATGACGTGTGCCAAGTAATGGTAAGCAGGCTGTGGTAAGAGGCTGCATGTGGAGAGCAATAAATTAGTGGGATCATCATTTCAGTTATTATATTACGTAGGATGCCCTAAACGTACTGGTAAAGAAAATTTTAAACATGACAAGTGCATACTGGATGATCATACTACCACTATGCTTTGTAATCAACATTGTGGTAAGAGGAACATAATTATTCTTAGGAAATGGATTACTACAAATCAGTTTACTTCACAGAGTGCAAATCCTAGATTTGGAACTTTAGCAAAATAAGTTTTTAGTGGCTACCTAGTTTTTGGACCTTTAGTGGGTAAATAAAAGTTAATTAACCACTTGAGTATGCTACCAGACCCTCCCGATACAATTGTTTTATGGGGCGAACTGTAGCTCATTAAGCAAATCAATGAGGTAGGTCTGAAACTTTAGAGCAGACTGTACATGCGAAATTTATAGCACTATTTTTTTATTTTATTTTTTTGCGGGAGAAATTTATAGCACTATAACTGACCATCGATCACAACCATGTCCATATAGTGGTGGTTGGAGCCGTGAGCTATAAAATGGCCTATGCGTTGTTGCAATTACCTAGGAGCGAAGCAATGCAACATGACAAAAAAGAATGCAACCCTGTCCATATGTATACCTGGGAGCAAACCAAATGCAACCCAGTCCATATGTATAGTTTGTTTACAATCATTTGAGAATGGTA